GTGGCCCAGGCCTGCAAGGAAAGGCAGAAGGTAGGAAGGGGAGGCAGGGGTGCGGCCACGCACTCATGCAGCCTGAGTATGAAGTGGGGAGGGAGGGGGAGAAGATGGGAGGAGGTAGGGAAGACAGGTGACTGTTTGGGGGCTCTGGGCAGGCCTCCGGGTCACACCACCCCGGCTGCCCAACAGGACAGCAGCACACATGTGGGTTCTTCCCCCAAGACAAACGCTGCGACTTCCCACCACTGGACAGAGAAGGTAGGTAAGATATTTCATTTCCTCCCTCACAGTTCATAACGAGACTTGTACCTTGTCTGTAAGCAACTGATCAGACATCAGCTAGGAGCCATTATGGCTTAAGAGTGAGAGCTCTACAGTCAAACTGTGGGCTTAAATCCCGGCTCTGCTCATGATGTGATACCAAACAATTTATTTAAACTCACTGTACCTGTAACATGAGGGGTAAATATTAGTACCTGTTATATAACTCATAGAGTTGTTATTATGAAAATTATATCAGACGATCTAGGTAAAGTGCTTAGTAGAGCACCTTGTATAATATAGTAAGAACTCAATAAATATTGGTTATTATAATCACCTAAAATCTGTTCTAGCTTTAAAGTGTATTACTCTAGGAGTCTAAATAAGAGGAATGACTATCATTTGTATTTTTAATGGCAACAGTTCTCCCTATTAAGTTCATGCCTTGGGCAAAAAAAATCCAGGCCAGACACAGGTACTGAGGAGAGAGAGACAATGACTAGAGACTTGGAGAGTGATTTACAGAGTCAGGAGAAAAACAAGCGAATAAATTCCAAGAGGAGTCATTTAAGGATAAATGATTAACCCTTCCACGGCCCGCTAATGAGAAAAAAACAACCTGTGAAACATATTGCTAAGCGTATTTAAAATACACGAGTCCTTTGTCCCAGGAATCTCTCTTACAGAAACACCTGTTTTGGTGAGCAAGTATATACAGTATAAACATGTCAACGCAGCATTATAATAGAGACATACTGCAACGTACATACAACATGCGTGTAAATGTATGCACAACCATAAAACACATGTTATGAGTGCTGTGTAGACATCAGTGCAAGGTACCATGGGACCATGGTCAACGGTCTCATGGCCACTTTTGCCCTTTTTGAGATGATTATTCAAAGCATCTCAGAGCTGGGTTGAGAAGGCAAAGCCTTTAGGGATAGACACCAAGCACTACGGCACATTTTACTAACCCGACACTCTGCACGTAATAAAATTTCTCCAAGGATACGCACTCAAGGTTGACAGTAGTGCCCTATGAGAAGCAAAGGGGAGAGGTCTCTCCTCGTCGTTTTGGTGACTTTACATCTGAATTTTTTTTCACTTTCTACTCCCTAAGCAGAGACGACAGACCAAATGCTCTAGACAAGGGTTTCACAGTCTTGGGGCTGCTGACACTGGCTGGAGAAGACACTGTGGTTGTGGTGCATTCCGCCCTGTGCATCCGAGACGTTGCCCAGCACCCCGGGCCTCTCTGCCCACTAGAGACCCGTTAGCACAACCCAGCGTGCCACATGTCTCCCGGGGACCAAAACTGCTCCAGACTGAGAACCACTGCCCCAGCCAATAAGTTGGCTACATTAAGTATAATTTATTCCATGATAAGTACAAGTAATTATGACTGCTCAGGCCTTCTGGGCTATACTGCCTTTCCCTGGTTTGGGGAAGTATGTATGAGAATCTACTTCTAGGTATCGAAGCCATTAAAATTCCCTGAGTTTGAGTCCCAACTGTGTACCACATCATGTTCTTATTTTTCTCCTTGTATCTGGGGACCCACAGGAATTCCTTTGTGCAACTAACTGATACTTCTAGGGGAAACCCTAGAAGAGTAAATAATTTTTTTTCTCATAAATACACATATATAACTTTTAGAATCTCTTTTTATCCCTATGGACTACTTTAAAAATCAGAAGTAAAGCTATTTTAGATCTTCATATATAATGCACTAGTCTTACGATTTTTTTTCCTTAAGGAAATTACATCTTAAAGCTTCATGTTTTAATGTTGCAAAATTCAATATTACATGTCCTGAAGACTTATTACACTCTATCTCGTTTTGTGTCCTTTCTTGCTTTTTATTTTTGTCTTTTTCTGTGTGAATCTTGCAACAGCTTTTGACCTGAAAGATGAAACTAGAACAAGACACCCAAATGCCTGGCCAAAATGTGTAAGACAGTATAGAACAGAGTTCTTCAAACTTTGTATTGGTGTACCTCTATAAGAATTTTGAAAAACGTACCCAAAAAAGAAGAAAAAAATTTTTTTTAATTTAAAAAACGTATTTTGAAAAACTAGGTACTCCCTCACTCATTTGTAAGTTGGCATTTAAAATGTTTTCATCTTCAGTCTAAATAGTTGCACAATGTGTAGGATTCATGTTTAAATTATTGTATCACACTGATACCAGTTTACTTAGACTATATCAATGTTTTAATTAATAAAATGTAGTTTTTTTAAAATAAATAGTTGCAGAAGGTGTCATTTCTGGCATATATATATGCCAGAAATAGATAGATAGATAGATAGATAGATATAGATAGATAGATAGATAGATAGATAGATAGACAGACATATATATATATATATATATAGAGAGAGAGAGAGAGAGAGAGAGAGAGAGAGAGAGAGAGATTTAAATAAAGCAGTTTCAAAAAACTTTTAAGCAAATCCAGCAGAATCTAAAGGGCATAGAGATTTTATTCCCATCATGATCCACTTAAAACATATAATATATAAACTAACCTGTGCATCTTCATTTTATGCACTTTTCTGTTGTGTTATATTCTACACACACAAAAATGCACCAGGAGCAAACTCTTCTTCAAAAGCTAAAAAATTACATCACTGCTTTTTTTCTCTTTGACTTGCATTTCAATTCCATTTCCCCACAGAATTTTATCCTGAAGCAACTTATATTTTATGCTAGAAAATCTATTATTGATTCCTTTATCATACTCCCCTGCCATATAAATATCTATATGCATTCTAGTGTAATTTTTAAAATTTTTCTGTGAGCCTAGGGCTCTAAGTGCTTAAATAACAATTTCCTGGATGGAGCAATGATAACTATTAGTGATAGGAAGAGATTCGTAACAACAAAATACAATACACTGTTTTATGATTATTAAACATTAAGAAGTAAAATATTCTTGGAAATGCATATGTTAGTGGATGGGGCTTTATTCTCGTTTCAATTCATTCATGTATCTGTGGATAATTATTAAGCAGTCGTTGCTAGAATAAGGCAGAGTTAAGCATCAATTTTATTTCTATATTTCTGTGGTTTCTTTCTTCTTTTTTTTTTTTAACATAAGCAAAGAGAAAATGTGTTCGTGTAATTGAGAAGATGGGGGTAGGGGAGGATGGGTTTTAATATTGTCATTCTGTTCTTTGTACTCTTTTCAAATTACAGGCCCAAAATCCCAGAGTGGTCCATCATAGAAAATTACTTTTAAGGCCCTCTCTGCTGGCAATTCGATCAGATCCACCTTCGAAGAACAGGACAGTGTCTGAATGGCTAAAGGGTTTCTGCCCAGTGATGAGTGATGAGAACCCTTCACTTCCTCCACGTGGGCACCAACGTTCCAAGAGTCCCTCTGTGAATGCCTGCAGATCCTGCTACCCAGAGACAAGGTCGTAAGGCAAGAGTATGTCATTCTTGAGTCAAGGGGGAGAGGGAAACTGGGCAAGGAGAGGAGAACTGGCTTCCAGGGCATTCTTGGGCAGAGCAGTTTTAGGGAAGAGGATACAGAAGCTGAGCACCTGGAAACTGATTTTGTTAACACTATCTGTGCACCTGTGCAAAGAAAAGTCTCCATGTGCTCTCTGGGGAACATGGGCCCCAGTGACAGCTACTGACTTAAATGGTCTCTGGGAAGATGTTTTTCCAGATCACAGAACTATAAAAACAAGGGAAAGGAATGAAACTCTGATCAACTAAAAGGGCAAACTACATATTATATGCCTTTTGATATGGCTGATCCAATTGGAATACACAGCACTATGATGTATTCATGCCTAAAAAAAAAATGGAATCTGAATTAATCAAGACTCTAGGTCCAACTACCAGCTTACAGGAGATACAGGAGACTGAGGAACAAGTTAAACAACAACACAAGGAAGCAATCAGCCAAGTTCAGAATATAGAACAGTCTAGAGACAAATGACCCAGTTTCTCCAACAAATTACTAAGTGTGAAAAAAAAAAAACGGACTTGTTAAAGAAACTTAAAAGATATAACAAACAAATTGAATGTAAAAATCTTGTTTGGATCCTAATTCTAACATAACGATATTAAAAGATATCTCTGAAAAGATGGAGGGAATCTGAATATGGATTGGGTGTTAGATTATAATAAGGAATTATTATTAATTTTGGTAGGTATGATAATGGCATGGTGATTGTGTTTTTTTAAAAAAGTCACTCACTTAGAGGTATGCATTGAATTTATAGGTGAAATGACATGATGTCTGGGATTTGCTTTTACAAAATATTCTAAACTCCCAAGAAGGCTGGGGGAAGACAGATAAAATGAGATTAGCAAAATGTCAATGGCTGAAGTTGAGTGACAGGTACCTGGGATGCATCTCAGAAGATTCACTCCACTTTTTCCATATGCTTAAGAATGTCTATAATAAAAGGTCTTGTAACATGGAATGGGAGGAGAAAGATAGTATTTAGTTAGTGCCAACTGCATATTAGGCTAGGCCATAAATGCTATCTTATTTTATGAGTCCTGAGGCAGCTGCCCAACAAGCCTCCTGCCCTGTCTAAGGAGAAAGAGAGGCATTTGATAAGCAAGGAATTCAATGTGGTAGGTGATAAGAGAGAGCCATTAGCACCTGGGGAACACAGAGATGCATCTAGGTCACAAGGGGACTGGAGATTGCCCTTAGCAGAGAACTGTCAGAATAAACGTGTCTCCATTTATATTTCTCCTACCACATGCTACTTACCCCCGCAGCAAAGCCAAGACTTCCATCTAAGATCCGCCTCTGAAAATGAAAACAAGATGTTTCAGTTTCCAAGGAACAATAAGATGACGTTTCCTGGGACAAGAAGAAACCATAAAACCCAAGAGAGCCACACAAATGTAGACTGGCCCACTCCTGAGCTCGTGAACTCCCGAATTTATACAATGGGCCAAGAAGGGGGGGAGGGGGACGGGGGGACATTTTAAAACTTTCCATCTACTCTATAGCCAATCAGAAGTGTTCTTTCAAGAAGTGCGTGGTTTGCATTAGCCCATGTGCTATCTCATACTCAGCCCTCCCTGTGAATTATTACTATAACAGTAAACCTTTGGTAAGTAGCTGGCCTACAAGACGGAAATTACCAGGTGTTGGTGAGGAGCAGGTGGAATAATCAAAACCGTGCCACTTCTGCATGATTCTATAACAGAAATACACACTCGGAGTCACCAAACACGTGTGCAAAAATACTCAGCAGCACAATGTATGAGCGCCGAAAACTAGAAACCCCCCAAATTCTCCCCAACGGAATGGACATATCAACTAAAATATATTCACACAACAGAATACCGCATGGCAATGAGAACATACACACACACACACACACACACACACACACACACACACACAGAATGCATATATCTATCTCACGAACAGGCAGGGGCATTAAACATACTGGAAAATTAATAGGGTGAAATCAGCCAGACGCAGAACAGTACATGCTATATGATTACTCCGTCTAAATAAAGCACAAAACAGGGCAAACTCTCCTGCAGTAAGAGAGGGGGAGGGGACGACCACAGGGGTGGAGGGTGGGGGTTGGGGTAGTGACTGGGGGGAGCCCGAGGGGCTGTGGGGTGCTGGCACTGTCCTGTGTCTTGACCTGGGCACTCGTTTTATGGGCATTTGTGAAAAATGATCAAGCTGCCCACTTACAAAATGCACACTTTTCTAAATATATACATCTTACATCTCAATACAAAGATTTTTTGGCATCCATCCATAGATGAATGGATTGAAAAAAGGTGGCATATGCATACAACGGCATGGTCTGCAGTCTTAAAAAGGAAAGAAATCCCGGCACATGCTACCACAGGGACGGCCCCCAGGATGCTGTGCGAAGCGAAAGCAGCGTTGTCCACAGACCCTTTCCCCTTGCACAACTGAAACCTGTTGCACAGTCACAACTCATTCCTCCCTCCCCCCCACCCCGGCCACCCCCACTCTACAATCTGCCTCTATGTATCTGACTTCTGTAGGTTATATAGCTAGATTCCAGGCAACCTGTAATTCCAGATTGTTCTGAGTTCCAGGTCTCTGATCCATGGCTCCAGCTTGCCCCGGGGTGGGGAGGGGAGGGGCGGAAGGGGGGGGGCGCATGAGAAGTGGGGATCCTATGGCAGAGACCAAGACTCGCCGTACTGGTCTCTAACACAAGGGCACCCGGCTCGCCACTTCCTGGTCATGCTTTCCTCCCCAGATCTCCTGCGATTCCTGCGGCTGCCAAGCTGAACACTGCAGGCTGTGCTTTCATCAGGACAGCCACGGACGGCTCTAGGCCAGGACTGAGGGGACTCTAGGTTGGAGGGAAGAACCGTATTTCAGGCAGAGGAGGTGAGTGTGGGCTGTGCAGGGGTGCAGGGAGGGGGTGTGCACAGATGTGGGAGTGTGTGTGGAGTGCATAGCAGGGGTGTAGGGATGGGGTTTGGAGTATGGTGCAGGCAGAGATGTGGGAGGTCTAGGGGTACATGGGCATAGGGAGCATGAGAGTGGCGGTGCTGGGGGTGTGAGCAGGACACGTGGAGAATTGGGGGGCATGGGTGTCTGCAGGCAGGCGGGGAGGCGGGTCTGTCTGTATTCATCCCAAGGGGGGATGAAACATCCACGAGAGGAATAAAGGAGAAAAGGAACAGAAACCCTTCCTCCCCCCAGGGTCTCTCCAGTCCTCCCAGCTAACTCCAGGCCACGGGGGAGGACAGTCGAATCTGAAACCTAACATTCTTCTGCAGTCATGGATATACCACCTGCTCCAGGCCCGAAAGAAATTAGACACAAGGCAGAAATCAGGCAGCAGGCTAAAGGAAGCAGCTGGATCTCTCACTTCCCATCCCCCTCGAGTCAGGCCGTCAAGAGGGCAGGAGAAAATGCATGGACGCCTCTGCAGAGAGCAGACACCTGTTCTCCAGGCCGGGCAAGGAGAGGGAGGGAAAATAAGACGACAGAGAGCCAATCCTAAGAAACGACAGTGAGCCAGCACCATTTATGCTATCCTGGATTAAGCTTAAGCCCGTTATCCAAAGTGAGGCGACACAAGACATGGAAAATGGGCCCCACATCTACTCACCATCAAATTGGTACTGACTGATTAAAACCATGGTTCTCAAATGGTGGTAATGTTCACCAGGGATTCAGGGTGGGGGGAGAGACCCAATCTTAGGGATGTGGCGAGCATTTTGGAGCGGAAGGGCATAACTCTAACCCTTCTTAGGGAGAAGCAAAGATATACAATATAACCAAAATGTCAACAACAAAAAAAATTCTTATGGGGGGGTGGGCAGGTGGGAGGGGGGAGGAGGAGAAGGGTGTAGACTTACATAATGTGTGGGGTGCACACCACCTGGGGGTTGGACATGCTTGAATCTGTGGCACTTCGGGGGGAGGAAGGAGGGGCAGGGGCAATATATGTAACCCTAACAATATTTGTACCCCCATAATATGATGAAATAAAAGGGAAAAAAAAAAAAGAAGAAGACAGAGAGCAAACCCCATCCCCCGCCACCTGGAGGTGTGGCCAGGGGAATCCAAGGGTCTGCAAACCTGCTCTACAGAGTGGGGTGGTTTCAGAGCTTGCCACGAGAGTCCCCACGAACTTCCAGAACCGAAGCAGGGCAACTGACCTGTCCACTGGAGAACACAAACACGAGAGCCGCCCCAGCTGCCGTCATCCCCCAAGTGAAGAAGGTTCCCAGCAAGGCCTGGGACACGGAGCTGTGGCCTTGGAGCATGCTGGATCCGCTGTGTGCAGAGGAGGGAGAGGGTCAGCGGCACGTTCCAACGTGTCCTAACATCCCACGCCTGAGCTGGCTTCCCTCGGGGTTGGTGGCGTGCACCCTTCTGTCACGCCGTCCCAGTGTTCCTCAGCCACCCACACGTGGGTCGGGCATCTCCATCCCAGGCCCGCCCCCCAGCGATCAGAAATCGTCTAACTCTGAAAGGGGACCTCAAGAGGTGCAAGGGGAGCCCACAAAAGAAGTTACATCGCTGAGTGGCGGTTTCAAAGAGAAGAGCACAAAGAGTGCAGGTTGTTTAGCCCGGAGGAAGGGGCGCAGGAGGGTCTGATAGAGTCTTCCCCACCAATCTGCCACTCCATCCACTTCCGGTCCACAGTCTCTTCTCAGACACCTCCAAATACAGGTGACGAGCTCAGAAGCCCTTAAAGCTCTTCCAGCTAACTCCCTGTCACACCTGCAACAGCCCCTGCCTGCTGAAGGGCAAACGCCACCCACGGACCTTCCGTCCCCCCACTGGCTCTGCAAGGCCTACATAACGCTGCCCCATACTCCAGCTCACCCCAGTTCTTTATGGCACCTTTGACGAGCCCCAGATGGTCCTGTTCACACGGTTCCCTCCTGGAATACTCGCCTTCCACATCACCAGCCAGGACCCAGAGCAGCCCCCACAGCCCGTCTAATGCCAGCTTCGGGGCAAACCCTTTCCTGGTCCCCCCAGCCCTGCCCTAGCGCATGTCTTTCTCTGCGTGGCTTTGCCTCCGCCATCTTTTACACCCTTAGCGGCTCGATGCTTTGTCACATTTGGCACCCCTGTAAAATAGGACTTTGTGGCCCCTGACAAATATTTGCTGGGTTGAAAAGGGCCGTCTTACCTGGACGGGCCAGTCGGCAAGCACAAAGACACAGACCTAAGAACGGAATGTCCCCTGGCCAGCTCAACACCCCACTGCTGAAGCTGAAGTTACACCCCGCCCACTAAGAAAAGAAAGGGAAGAACCATTCCCCTTGCTTCGGCCCAGAGAACCTGCTCCAGACCTTCACCCGTTTCAAATCCTAGATCTGAAATGACAGACTCAGACCTCTCGCTGTGGAAAGTTACAAGGCCGGGAAACACATTTGTTGGAAAGCCCTGTGTTCGGGTACACAAACACCAGGGCCTCGGCTCAAAGGCCTCCTTCAGCTCCCCACCGGCCTTCCAGCACCCACAGGGCTGGACACGACCCCGCTGGGCTCAGCCCTGCCGGCCCCCGGAGCTCTGTGAGAAGCCAGCAGCCCCTGGCCTGCAGATCAAGAGCTGAACAGCTGCCTCTATTGCTCCTGGAAGGAAACCACGGCAGGGGTGCGCAGGGCCCGTATGCCAAGGGGCTCAGCAACACAGCCAAGTTCAAGCCTAAAAAAGGCCACGGACCCGGACAAACACAGGTGAGCCCAGGCTCAGCGCTTATGCTAGGATACCTCTGACGTAAACAACATCTTTGGGTTCACACTGTGACCCCCTACAGTCTAAACAGAGCTCAGGATGGTGACTGCACCAATTAAAAGAGAAACAAAATCATTTTTAAATATCCACCCTTTACATACATTATCTTGTTAAGTCACCTAAAAAGAGTGGGTTTTGTTTGTTTTTTTAACCAAGCTATCTGGATCATTGCACCAATCATCTATGTCTAGCTGCTTGTGGATAGAATTTCAAACAGCATTTACAAACAGACACATAGCTATCATCCTCTTAGTACTTATCATCCAAGACAGGACATGACAAAAAACATCTTTTTGTTTCCTGTATTTGAATATGCATTTTGACAGCTACAGAAGAAAGCAAACAATTTACATTTGCCAACAGGCCAAAATTAAAGTGGGTTTTGTGGGCTGGTGAACAGAAAGGAGCTCGTGGGTGTTCCTGGTTGTTAGTGGGACATGAAAACTCTTCTAAGTCTGTACCCATGTATACCTGAGCACCCTGAGAAAACACAAAAAGGGACCCAGAGGGAAGACCCAGGCCACCATCCTTTCTATCCCAACAGAAGCAGCATTGATCATTGATCGTGGGCCTTGCAAACTCAGCACCCCTTGGGGAAGTTTCTTCCATTTGCTGCCTTAAATCCTTGCAGCTCAAAGGCTGGTCCAAGAACCAGCAGCCCTGGTCCCAGCTTGGAGCTAGTTAGAAATGCAGAATCTTTGGTCCCACCCCAGACCAAATGCTGAATCAGAATCTGCAAATGCTCAATCAGAATCTGCATTTTATGGAATTCCATGGGGGATTCTTAGGCACATTAAAGTGTGGAAAGCACTGGTCTAAAACTAGCACAACTTCTACAAGACCAAGAGCTTAGAAAGTGAGTTCTGCCCTGCGGGGAATTGGCAAGGGTGACAAAGGATTCCAAGAGGACAGAAAGTTTTCTCTAACTGGTAGACCAGAAACACCTTAGGAACACGCCTCTCCAAAGTAGCCACACAATGGGATTCAGACTTCCTCCTGAGCTGGGAGTTAATACCATCAACCCTGATTAGCTAGCAGGAGAGAGGATCACTCCATGCTCACTCCAACTTTAAAGATGCCCACACCCCTTCACTTGTACATATTCCACTAGGGCAGCACGTGGGGTTCCCAGCCTCCACTGATAAGAGAATTGTTTTATTTTTTTTTTCTCTCCCTTTTAAACCTGTTGCACTGCTTCCAAGAGTCAGCTTCATAGTGTTAGGGAAGTTGCAGAAGCAGAGACAGCACCAGGGCTGCCTGGGCCTTCCTTGGTGGAACTGCACACACACGCCCTGACTCCACGAGGGGAATCGGGCAGAAGGATTCAGGTCTGGGCAGAAATGACAGTGGAAAAGTTCTCTGAACCCTCAAGTGCTCAGTATGGTCCCAGACCAGCTGACCTGAGAATTGGTCAGAAACCCAGGATCTCGGGCAGCCCAGACCTGCTGCAGGTTACCCGGACTCCCCCCAAGTTCAGGAGGTGCTTCCAACACCCACAGCGAGTGGGCGGGGCCTCTGAGCGCTGGAACTGCAGCCACCTCTGCTCCCCGGAGCCCTGGGTCCCCCTCACGCCCCCCAGGAAGCGATGAATGAAGAGATCCTGGCAGGACTGCAAAAGGAACGCATGTCATTGTCCTCCTTGGCCACCCTGGAGGCGGGGGCGGAGGGGGCGCTCCGGCACCTTCCTCGCCCCATGCCACCTGCCAAAGCCTCCAACTTCTCCTCCAACCCCACCCCCTCCTCTCTCCAGGGGCACCCCCTTCCGAGATGCCCTGGTGGCCCCCGACCCCGGGCCTCGGGCCCCACCAAAGGCGCCGAAGGAGAGAAAAGCCGACTCACTAAGTGGGTGCCCTCTCCAGCCCCCACCGCACTTCCATCAGCCCCGCGGCCGCTCGCGCGCCGGCTCCGCTCCCGCAGTCACTTCCTGCTTCCCTCCCGCACACGTGTCCCTGCGGCCTCCGGGCCCCGCCCGCCCGGCCGGCCGCCACCGGCAAATCCCGCCCCGAGAATCAATTCCCTGGTTCACAGCCTCCCGCCGCGCAGGAGCAGGGCGGGGCGGGCGGAACGGCCGGCGAGCGCGCGCCTCCGCCGCCCTGGGGAGGCGCAGACGCCCAAGCAGGGCGCGCTTTGTGCTGTCCCCGCTGTTGCTTCCGTGTCTGCACCTTTGGCGGCCCGGTGCAATGACAGGGGTGTTTCGGGGTCGGGTGGCGGTGACACCAGCATCGGCTTCAGCGTCTAGCTCAATGGCCCTGGAGCCACAGCTCCCATCCGGGAGGGATGTCAGACACAGGGCGCTGGGACCCCCAGGGGTTCTGGTTCTGGGATTCAGGGTGGGGCTGAGACTTTCTGTTTTGAACTAGCAGTTGCTGTGGCGGCCACCCTTTGAGAAGCACGGGGCCCTACGTCAAGGGCTGTGCTCCCCAGGGCTTGTGTGAAAAGACCAAAGAGGAGAAATGGCTAGATTTGGCCAAAACCAAACCAAAACAAAAAAAAACAGGATGCCTGGTTAAACTTGAATTTCAGGTAAACGACAAATCATTTATTAGTATAAGAATAACCCACACAATCTTTGGGACATACTCTTGCTAAAAGCATATTCGTTGTTGATGTGAAATTCAAATTTAGCTGGGTATCTTGTATTTTGCCAGACCAGAGGGCAACCTGGACAGAAAAACTGCCCGGGGTCCGCAGTAGCCATGGACCAAAGGGTCCAGTAAGAACAGCCAGCCAGTCCTCTGCAGGATGGTCACACCATACACCACGCACCGCGTTGGGGAAAGGAGGAGACCTTCCACACAACCTCCGGGACAGACACACAGAGAAGCAACAGCCACGTGGCAAGGCGTGGCAATTTGACCTCCAAAATGCCACAGCTCTCCCTGCACGCTGTGATGGTGATGAAATGGTATATCTTGGATTTGCTTCAAAATTCTATGGAAGAGGTAAGTGCATGGAGTAGAGATTAAACAAAACTGGCCATGAATTAACCATGGTTGGAACAGGAGAACAGGCACATAGGGGTAAATGAATTTGTCTGCTTTTGCACATGTTTAAATTTTTCATAACGAAGGGTGAACAGAAAATTTTAAAACAATCCACAAAGTGTATCTCCTGCCCAATCCCTTTTCTCTCCCTTCTCACTGCTGCTGTGAGGATTCGGCCTGCCGGCCCCTCACCTAGGTCATGGCAATCACCTCCTTCCACTCTAGCCTGTCCAGCTGGTTCTGTGCACGACTGGCAAGATCAACCTGCCTGAAGCAAAGCGTGTTACTCTCCTGCTCAAAAACCTTCAATGGCTCCCTAGTAACTTTGGCATAAAGTTCAAACTCCTCAGCCTGGAATTCAAGGTTTCCCGTGATGTGGCTCCAACTACACTTTCTCGTGTTTGTCTCCCAGGGTCCTCCTCCTTGTGCCAAAAGCGAAGGACCCATAGGGCAGCAGAATGGTGGGTGGCCCTTTCCAGAGGAATCACTGTCACTTGCTCTGGACAGCCCTGGAAGATTGGGGTGATGTGGGCAAGAAGA